GATTGCAAAGGGGCAGAATTCTGACATCTGACCAAAAATTGTAAGATTTTTGAATCTTCCCAATCTTCCCAAGAATTTTGAATGATACTTTCTATGTCATCAGCACATTGTAGACAAAGGAGCACTGGCGGGCTGCACAATCTTTGTCATCTTTTATAGCCTTTTGTCTTCAGGCTGTAATTGTACTTATTTGTGTCATAGAGTTTCTTATCACAGTCAGTAATATGATAAACTATACTGAGCATTTCTTCAATAGAAAATTCTGTAACGTATTTGCAGACTTATAGGCTGGTCAGTTACTGAATGTAGATGGTATGTGTCTGTATACAATGAAAACAACTCATTTCTCTTCCCTTCCTCCTTTAAACCTCTTTCCTTCTTTCCTGCTGTCCACAACTCCCCCACATCCCAACTCTGTTTAATAGCTTTAGGCTTTTTGGACCAACTTTTGATTGGGTGTTGATTCAGCTTTATGTGATAACAGACTTGACTACACTAAAAGCAGATAATTAATTATGGAAAGACTGATCCTGTTGGTATCTCTGTGTTAGAAGTAAAGAAATAATTTTTAAGCAATGTTTTCAGGAAGAACTATTTCATTGTGTCTGTATACTTGCTGGAAGGGTTCTTGGATGCCTGTGCTTCAGGTCGTGGCTGAACATGCACAGTTCTTTCAATGCCTTGTGCACACCCTCAGACTCATTTATTTAACAGACCGTGTCTGCTCCATGTGATACGGAGTTTCTTTGAAGTGGTGCTCATCTTTTGGCATAAGTTGGCCTTCTGTAAATGCCTAATTATTTTGGGTATCACTTTGAAACTCTCTTTGTGTTATTTGTTTGTTAATTATGTTCTCTGCTATTGATGTAGTACAAACATAGCAGCTTACAAGTCCTCGAGAGAGCAGGAGTGACATGACCTGTCACTGGATGCCTAACTTAATCATGCCAAATTTTAATATGAAGTCTTTGATCAGGATTCGTTTAGCATTTTTTGTAGAAAAGTAATTCTGATTCAACAGATATCCAGCTGTCCTTAATTCTAATTCCATGGGCCTATGAATAGTTTCATAGATTTTTACTGATAAATATACAGAATTCTGTGCTTAGCATGGTCTAACATGTCCCAGTGAAGAGGGAAGGAGGAAGGAAAAATTGTGACAAAGGAATTTGCAAAATAAAGTGCACAAGAAACACCTTAGTAAACAAAACAGTGAAATCTCATGGGGGCTTAGAGGTTTTAATTAAAAAAAATAAAAAACCACAAGAAGTTTTGGACAATGCAGCTCATAGAACCTCAGAACTGTGCAAAAACTTACAGCTCAAGAAGAGATAAAGGGAGAATACTGGTATTTGGGAATAATGGTCTATGTGTGATACCAAGTGACATTGGTAGCTTTGCAAAACCAAAGAGAGAAAGAGGAAAGTGAAAATAGCAAGAGCAGAGATACTTGGGTCAGTAAGGGATAGAGCAGGGGGGACATGGCAGACTTGAGAGGGCAAAAGTAAAGTAGCAGAGATAAGGGAAAGGATGCCCATGGAGAAATGAACATACTGCAGAGGAAACAGCGTGGTTGCTATGGTAAACAGGGGAGTAGGTTCTGCCTTGGGACCTCTGGAAGGGCATGGGCTCTCATTTCAGCATGGAGGTGAAAGAAAACCACGAGATCTTAAATACTGAATGTGTATGAAAATACAGCCAGGGGATACCAAAAATCTGAATAGAGACAATAAGGAATGTTCCAAACCCTGAAGATCTCTAACATTAGTAAAGAAGTTCTTTATAAATGAATTTGAATAAATTGTGTGTGAATAGCATAATTATAGAAAGATGAGATGATCAGTGGCACTTTGAGTAGCTTGCAGAATGCAGAGAGAGAAAGCAGCAGGTCCAGCAAAAGGCAATTGCCGTAGTCCAAGCGTGAAATCATAAAAGAATAAATGCTTTCCTTATAGGATCTGCTGAGGTTACAGCCTAAGGTTGTAACTGTGTCCATGAATTAGATAAAGCAGTAAAAACATACATTCTCTCCGTCAAGATTTTTTTTTCCTCAGACATCCTTTCTAGTTAACTCTTAGGTGACAGACAGTAGGTACTGCCTAACAATGTTTTCTGTGTCCCCTCTACATGTGCTTCTCACCTCTTGAGCAGTGGGGGGTAGCTGGGATGAAGGAATGGAACCCATCCCCTGTATTTACAATCAATTTCTTCTTTTTAAATTCACCTTTCAGTATAGGAATAGTAGAAGAGTGACATAACCATTTACCTTTGTTTTAACTAGATTTTCAGCAGTTTGTGTCACCCAGGATTTTTTAAGATAAGTTGAAGAATTGGCCATGAAATTTGCAGTTTTCCTCATTTTGACAATGACTTTTCCCAGAAGATTTTGTCAGAAAGCACTGGGCAGGAAATGCACAGGACTGTTGCAAGGTAGTATAACTGAAGGACTGCTTTGTTTCTTGAGGGAAAAGAAATCACTGAGAAAGGAAAATAGCTGTAAGGCTGAACTGGAAATCTGAAAGCATAAATTCTGAAAGGAAGGAGTAAAGTTCAAGGCAATGCAAGGGTAATTTCACTTGCTAAGACCAGGATCTGTTAAACTCTTGCCTCAGCAAAGTTGCCAACCAGCAGCCTGAGAGGACAAACATCTTTATTAGTAACAGCCACTGCCAAGAGAAAAGTGAACTCTGATTTGCTGAGTAAACTTTTGCATCCAACCTCTCTTTCCCTCATGTGACCCCCACAGTCTGCCCAAAATTAATCTCCCTGTCCTTGTGCACTGCACATTTTGGCTCTTTGCATGTTGTTTCTGATGGCTCAGCTGCTCCTACCCCAGCCTGGGATGGAGACCCAGAGCTGAGCCTGTCCCCCAGCTCTTACCTCTGCCACCAAGGGCTACCCGAGCAAGCACTGCCACCTCACCAGGGAAAGCATGGAGTGGGACAGCATTGGGGCAGGGAAAATGTCTTGCCTACATTCCCTGGAGGTTTGCATTTGTCTGTGGCACTGTATAAATATTTTATTGTAATAATGCAGTCGTTAATTTTGCAGAAAGCTCCTGGCTTTGTGGAAGATTAAGGGTTTTCTAGAGGTTTTCACATTAAAAAATTGTTTCTTTATTCTTTTTGACTCTGCTTTGCTTCCATACTTATTATTAGATAGTCATGGGAACTTTTCATGTAGTATAATGTGGGCTACCAGTCCTCATGTTGCCCTGGTTTAAGGCAAGAAACGAAACATTCTATACATTAAAGAGACTTTTGAAAGAACCTGTTGTGATCAGTTGCTGTGTTTTGCTGGCATTTCTGGCAGAATCTCTGCTTTGAAGTAATTTTTCAGATTAAAAAAAAAAAAATTAGAAAAAAAAGAGAAAGAGAACTATTCCTGGGATGCTAAACAAAAAAACTACTTTACTACAAAGTTCAAATGAGAGTCTTTGGAAACAGCATTGAGCTGTCGTTGATAGGAAACTTCATTTAGATTCTTTTGTGTTAAGATGTGTCACATATGAAAAAATACTTAAAATTTAACTAAAATATTAGTATTTAATAACCCTCCTCTGTTCATATTAAAAGTCTTTCCTTTGCATTATTTTACTTCTATACGTCTTTTTTTAATCTGAGTGCTTCAGTCACTGTACAGATTGCCTACAGTGTGACTGCCATGCTTTGCTGAGTGCTCAGTGTTCCTCTGTTACTCACTTTCTTCAGTCTTAACTGGATTCTTATGAGTTTTGTTTTGTCTCCTTGAGATCTACAAAGTTGTTTTCTTGATTTCTTTTTTTTTTTTTCTTTAAACCAATTTGTCCTAAATTCATATTGTCTTGACATTCTGGTAACTTTATTCAATATTCACTCCATTGCCTTAGTACTTTTCCAGTAATAAGGTGTCCAGAACTGAATGCAGTATCCCAGCTAAGTTCCAAGGTCATGAAGAGTTTACAGGCTTCCAGTCTCTGTGACTTAATGTCATTTCTTACATAGCCCCAACATCTGCCTTTGTGCTGCCATATTGTGTTGCCAACTCATGTCCCTTTATTCTCTTTCCTAAGCTTAGTTCAGTGTTGCTACTTCCTGATTTATTTCTTCTGTTTAATATTAGTGTTAAATTATTTTCCCCAGCTGTGCATTTTTTTTTTTTTGTCTGAGACATTTGGAGTGAAGAAGCTGGGAAAACTGAAAGCAAGCTGTAGCAATATCCATGCCTGAAATTCTTGGGAAATGAATGCAGAATGTTGACTCTCCTGTTATTACTGTTGTATATTTAAGTGGTTGTGTAGACATAGACAGACAAATTAATGTAATCTACTGTAATGCACATGAGCTGTGTGCATGGTAAGTGCTATATGTACAGTGAACTCCTGTACATTGTATCTGATCCTCTTTGTGCTATGCTATTTTTTTTACCTAATTTTAATTTCTCTATGACTTGAAGATTATTTTTTTTAGATTAGCTTTGTTAATGTTGTTTCATTAAATTCTTCCATTGACTGGTATCCAGATCTTAGAAATCAGTCACTTGGTTTTTTTTGTTTTTTTTGTTTTTTGTTTTTTTTTTTTTTTTTTTTTTTTTTTATTTTGGTTTGGTTTTTTTTCCTTTCCCTGTTTTTCCTTTCAAGAAATCATTTCCTGCTGGACTCAAAGCAGATTACAGATATTGCACATTCATTATTTTTTTCTTTACTAAGGTGGTTTGCACTGCAGTCAGAAGGCAGTGATGAACCACCTTGGATCAGTCAAAGCAGCTTACAGATATTGCATATTCTTTTTTCTTTTTTTTTTTTTTACTAAGGTGGTTTGCACTGCAGTCAGAAGGCAGTGATGAACCACCTTGGATCACTGGGATAGGCATGCTGATTAGTATTATTTTGGGAGTTTATTGTTTTTAAACATTCAGATGTTTCCCCTCCCCCCAGTATTAAACTCTCCTAACCACTTCACTGTTTGTAAAATAGAAATTATGTAAAAAAAATCATCATTATGTATCTTATTTTCCTACAGGACTTGCAGATAATCAGTACAGATGAAAACCAGGTGTTTGTGGCTGTGCAGGAGTGGTACCAGACAGACACATACAACCTGTACCAGTCTGACCCACAAGGTGTTTACTACTCCATCCTGCTGGAGAATGTCCGGAGCACGAAGCAGCCAGAAGAGAATGTCCTGATAGATATTCTGGAGGTAGACCTTTATATTTTTCCATTATGTGTAGTCTGTGTGGAGGATTTTTTTTCTTTTTATTATGAGTATAATTAATTTTAAGTAACGTATTTTCACAGTTGTATTTAAATAGAAAGTATAGGATTTCTGTCTTATTTGTGGCACATTGTTACTACTTACATGTTTCCTTCTGTCCCTACTAATGTGTTCTGTACTCTAACTAAATTCTTGAGAAGGGGTTCTATGGATATTCAAATCCAAACTTGCTAAGTTTTTTTTTTTTTAAGATACTGAAAAGTGAATCTGGCAGCACAATTTATGATTGAAGTAAGAAGCTATGCAGCTGTCTATGTACAGCTTTTTTCTTCTAGATGACTCAGTGGTGCTTCTCCTGACTTAAGAGCAGGACATCTTTTAGACAGTAGGGTTTTAAGTAGTAATCCTGCAAGCCTTGTGCTAGGTTGTGTCAGCTCTGAAAGGCTAAGAGCCAACAAAATTAGATATTGGACAGCAAATTCACTTGCTTTCAGTACGTGTCTTGTGCCAACAGCAATTTCTATGAGACCAACTCAGCTGTAAACAAATCTATCTTGTATTTTAACATCAGTGCACTTGGCAAAATAAAAGACTATAGTGTTTTGGAAGAGTATCACAGGCTGTTATCAATTCCATTCCTGTTTAGGGAATGGAATTTCAGTGTAATGAATTTCAATATAATAAGGTGTACATTTGCTCTGGTTCTGTTCTTTCTGGCCATTATCAGAACATTAAAGTGGCTTTGGTCTGATTCAGTTTGTCCCATTAAATGCAATTTGCCTGGTTTTAATTAAAAAAAAAAACAACAAAAAAACAACAACCCAAAACTTTAAAGGTGCATCAGACTTCTTTGGTAAAGGTTTGCAGCAATTCTGGATACAAGGCACACACTGACAGAACTGTTAAATGGCTGTAATTAGACTCCTCTTGGTGGGGGAAAATAATAGTGTTTTCTTCCTCCTTATCTCCTCCATCTTTCTTTAGCTTTTTCTTTCTACATGGCTGTGGTAAAACAAAAAGGTCTCTCATTACCAGTGATTATTTTCTAGACTCTACCTTTTTAGAAATGAGGCTTCCTAATGAGTGAAGCTACACATTGTGTGTAGCCACGCTCCCACAGGGTGATTTATTGACAGCATTAGTTTGCAGCATTTTACTCTCAGTCACCCCTGTGACCAAGCAAAGGTAAAAGGCAGTCAGGGGCAATCTCTACTCCTTGCATCACCTGTAGCATGTAATTTCAGATAAGTTGTACAGAGATGCTACCCCTGGCTATCTCTTTGTCTACAAGAATTATTAACTTAATTCAGTTACACTGATTGTTTCATAATTTCCAAATGTTTCCAAGGACATATTAGATAATGCAATTGTAGTTTATTGTGTGCTGGATCAATTTGTAGGGTTACATTAAAAAGGAAACATACACATGATAAGGGCAATACACATGGAGCCATACAATTCCAATTTTTAAGCTATTTTTGAAATTGAGTTGCTTTATAGAAGAGCACTGATGGTTTCTAGATAGCTTGCATGATAAATAATTAGTGCTCATCTTGTTTACTAGAATGGGATCAAGTGCTCATAATGTGTGGGTTGTTTACTCAGTATAAAATTGGTAATAAATAAAACACATATTGCAGCCCTTGAGGATGGGATTTATTTTTTTTTTTACCTAATCTGGGTTTTTTTTTTTGGGCAAGTATCCCATCTTGGGAAGAGGAACTTCCAGTGCAACACAGAGACAGTCCTCAGTGGTGGAAAATTTCTCTTTCTGCCAGTGTGTAATTCTCCTTAAAATTTGTACTGTTCATCTTTGTTATCTTCTGACTGCACTTAATCTTTTACTTGTACATCTGCTATAAAATTTTTAATAGGTGTCTGCCTGTATTTGTTTTGTTTAGTCTGCTTTAATTTTTTTTGCACCGTTTTTCTTCTCATGTTGCACATGTAAAAGGGAACAATTTACAAATAGTTGTTTAAAGAAGAGAAGAAAAAAAAACTTAAGTACTAAATGGCTGTCCAAAAGAAGCATGACCTTGAATAATGTGACTTTATAAAAAGAGCATGTCCTTGAAATTGTGACTCCTTCACACTGGCAGCACTTGATACAAATTTGACATTGGCATATTTGCAGAATGTAGAGAGATATTACTAATGTAATATCTCTACATTGGTTCCTGCTGTGACTCCTTATGTAGATAAGAACTACATGAGTTGCAGTACACTTTTTTTCCCAAACAACAAATTGTATATATTTAAATTTTAGTCACAAACATATATTACATAGCAGTAATTTCTACATTTCAGTAACTGCTGCTAATAAACACTGTGGGACCATATGAACTGTGCCTCTTGCTACCAAATAAACAGAATATTTTTGGGATGGAATATCAGAAATCAATAAGGAGCAATTAATAAGTCACAGCAGAAAGTCTCAGAAAATAATTTTATAAGGTACAAAGTGCTTTTCTAAGAGTGCTGGGGAACAACTATCCCCTGAACTGCTTAAGAAATTAGGTACTCTGACAACTAAGCTTGAAGTTAAAAAAAAACAGCAGAAAGGTTCTTTGAATTTCCTCATGTTCAGCTATCTTGAGTGGCTCCTGGGCTGTTCATCAGAGTAACTAAGCACTGCAATGCTGAAATGTCTTCTTTTCCATAGCAACTTACTATTAATGTGAATCTTTTCCTTTCTTGATAGAAAGATACTTATCTTGCAATTTCAGATTAGGGAACTAAGTCAAGGAATAGAATGTACAGGAGAATTTGGGTGCCTTGGCACCACAGTCTAATCCATGAGATAGATTAGACACACTTCATTTCCAGTATTTACAGAGTCAGGTGTGTATTTGTATAGGCCACAGGACAAATGAGATGGAAAATGCTACAGCACTGAGGATGTTTTAAAGATGCCATTTTTTACACACCATAATTTTGTGTTAGTTATTGGGTTTTAGGCTAATGCACCACTCCGAACATGATATTTCTGAACTTGCTCTGAAGATAGATGCCTGAAACTTATTTATTATTTCAAGCAGGGTTTATGCCTTTCATTCAAAGTGCAACTGCTGTGAAGTGCTGGTTGGCTTTTATCTTTTAAAACAGCAGTGAGAGAAGTTAACCGAGACACTGGAAGAAATGTTTTCATAACCTTTCAATGTTTGATAGATTCAAACACTTATGTCCCATATTCTAGAGAGGAGAAGTTACCCTAGAGCTTGGTTAGATTAGAGATGGGAATGGCAATGGAGAAAAAGTTTAGCCTGACTCCCATTTGATGATTATATGGAATTATTAAATATTCATTAAGTGAGGGGGTGTGGAGGGGAAAGAGAGGAGAAACAAAAATAACAATGATGCAGCACTGGTTTTGCATCCACAGAGGAAGAGGGAAACCTCAGTTGCAGTCCCTGATCTAATTATTGTTTAAATATTTAATATTGTGTTCACTGGAAGGAAGACATGCACAGAAATTTTACCCCAAGTCTGCCTTCCCACGTAAATATTTGAACTGCCAGACTTTTCATGGCTGAGCTCTCTCAAAGGTAAAAAATCCCCAGCAAGATTAAAATGATTTGAAAGTAAAGAAAGCAGGTACATAATTTCTTCTCTTCCTCTCCTTTTCTCACCTGCACTGCAAATAGTTGACTTTTATGGTATGTTTGACTTGGAGGTGGTTCTGAACTTTCAGCATCCTGGATAAGTACCCCAACCACATATGCACAGAATTTAAGAATGAAGGAACTTGTGAGAGAGTAGAGTATTTAAATGTTTATACATAATTTTTTTCCATACATAAACTTAAATATAATTCCAAATTCTAGGCTGTTACTATAACCAGCAGGACATTCTTATTCTCTCTAGATTTGGATAAGTTCCTTGCTGTGTTTAATAACAGTGAGTATCAAATCTGTAGCCTGCTGGTAGGGATGACTTCTTTTCACCTTCAATGCAGACTTCTGCTAAATGAATGTTAAATGGAGTCAATAACTGACAGTTGGAAAAAGAAAAGAACAGTAATTATTTCAAATTAAAAAGAAAAGTTCAGAAGTGCATCATGTTATCAGGAGACAAATATTCCTGTTCATTCAAAGAGCTGGCTGTCTTGTGCATTTATTTGTAATGAAAGAGTCAGTTTTGTTAAGAGTCAGCACCCAAGGAGATGAGCAAGCTGTACTGTGCTGGCAATGTGTATCAGTTTATGTATGTTGTCCAGAATTTTTCAAAAATTCAGGAAGTCTTATAAATAATGGCAAGGGAACCAAGAGCACTCTTAAGGAAACCTTCACTTTTAATAGAAGACCTTAGTTCATGCCCAGGGGTGGAATATACATTAATATGTTAATAATTTAAATGTTAGGGCTAGAACTAAACATATTAAGTTATAATTACTGTCAGGTTGCTTCTAAAATTATACCCATTAACTTTGACACTTTGAGTTGTAATAATTTTCTAATACAGGTTGTTTTGAAATAAACTAACAGCGCAAGAGAAGAGGACTTTTTTTGTTATTATTTTTTTTTCTCCAGAGGTTAAACTGGTGAAGGGTGGCTAACTGGAGTGTGGAAGCATTTCAGATGCCAGAGAGGGTGATTCAGCCCTCAATGTGTCTTCCTCAGATGACCTGCCTGTATTTATTTTCTGCAATGGACAAGAGTGCTTCCCAAATCAGTGTTATTTTAAAGTATATGATACTGTGTTATTGAAACCTATTTGTGTGATATGGGCACAGAAATTCAGGTTAGAAGTTAGGTGGTTGTTAAAAATTGCTTACATCATTTGTAGACTAGCATTTTAAAGATGTCCATATTTAAAGAAAATGCAGTGGGGAAATTTTATTGGTGAGACCATGCTATCATAATTTTTATATTTTGCTATATAAACTATTGTGTTTTGCTATATTAAGCATGTCATTTAATTAGCCTTCTGACATGGAGAGAACTGCATATCCTTTTTATTTAGAAATAATCAGTTTGTAATTGTCCTTGCCTTCCCCCTTCCTCTCTTTCCTCTTATATTTTTGCCTTCCTCATATTTTTTTTAAGGTATCATCCGCTTTCCTTTCAGTTTCCAGGAGAAGCTACCTGAGGTACACAGTTCAGAGCCACAAAAGAGCAGCTAATCAGGGATAATCCTTGTTGAAAAAAACCTGTATGTGCTGGATATTAGCTTTTCTTTTCTATGCTTCAGGTCAGAGGTGTAAAAGGAGTCTTTTTGGCCAACCAGAAAATTGATGGGAAAGTTACGACCCTGATAACCTACAACAAAGGCCGTGACTGGGATTTTCTGAACCCTCCAGACATCGATATGAACGGCAAGCCCACCAACTGCAAACCTGTAAGTGGTTCTTTCCATGCATCCTCCCTCTAAAGTGTGCAGAATTATCTGCATGGTAGGATGTGCAGGAATTCCAACGTTACAAGAGCTTTGTGCTGAGTTTAGCAGCCAAACTAGCAGGCAAATGGGCTTGCATTGCATGGGCTGTGGCTCCACAGGCTCTTAGTCCAGTCATCATGTAGAGTGAGGAGTCAGGGCTTTCTGGTGCACTGCATTTCGTATTTGAGATCACTTTGACACAAAGAGTGTCATTTCTTGTATGTCAACAACACAAACCAGTCCAGAATAATCATGGCTGTCATTTGTGTCTGGATAAATGGGGCCCATCATGTGTCAAACAGAGATTACCAATAATTTTTCTCTTTCCATCTCTTAATATTTTTGTTTCATAATAAACCAAGGTTCCCTGTTAAAGGGAACTCCTGAGAGTTGCTTGAAAATAAATACCATAGTAACTTGCATAAAGTATTCCTTTCTTTTTGTAAGATGCTATTATTTCTGTATGTTTTGGTGTCCCAAGTGCCCATAGTATTTTATTATTTGCAAGGCTGTACTGAAAACCTTATATTTTTCCCACTGACTCTCTTCTCCTGGGGACTCAAAGCTCTGCATTGGTGGGCAAAAAAAAATGCTTGTAGTCCTGCCATGCCAGAGCTTTACTCCCTCTCCCCGTGGCAGAAGTGGAGGGCTGGAGCTGCTGGCTCCTTTTTGAAGAGTTCAAGGCTGTGCTGCAAGGCTCCTGCCTGTGGGGTCTGGTGCAGATCAATCTGAGATGAGTGGGACAATGGCAGTGGCAGCAGCTCCCAAGCAGAGCTGGCAGCTGGATTTTGGTAAAGCTCCTGGTCACATTGCTGTGAACAAAATGACCTTTGAGTGCACTGCACAAAGGGCAAGAAGCAATAAATTGCTTAGCAAGGAGACATGATGTATCCAGTAGTCATTACGCTATTTTTCATACACTTTTTTACTAAAAAAGGAATTTCAGCCCAAACAGTTTTTTTTAATAATAATTTTACCATTTACCTGGCACCAACAAACACGCAATACTTGTTGCTGTTAGTTAATATTTTTAAGCAATTATTCTGTCAGAAGGGGGTTTATATGCTGACTTCCTCGGGTTTGGAAATCTTTTTGTTGAGACAGTGGCACACTATGCAGACATCACCAGAGACTCTTGATATAAAGTGAAGGCTGATACTTCATGCTGGAATTTGGCTCTGTGGGAAGCAGCCATTCTTTTTCTTTATGAAGACATACATTGCTGAAGCTGCTCCCTGTCTGGGCTTTCATTTATTCTAGGAGCATGGCTGTAGTGATTTTTAGTAGCAGTGATTTTTAAAACCTGTTCTCTGCTTCTTCCCCCACAAGCCTGATTGTTACCTCCACCTCCATCTGCGGTGGGCAGACAATCCCTATGTGTCAGGCACTGTGCACACCAAGGACACTGCACCAGGGCTCATCATGGGGGCAGGTAAGTGCTGGCATTGCTTTTTAAGACCTGAAATGTGGCCTTCTTTGTAGATCTAGTCCTTGGATTTGTAAGAATACCATGCTAAAAACATTGCCAAAATAAGGCTTTCCTGCAGAATAATCCTTTATGATCAAACAATTCAATATATAAGTTAATGGAAGGCCCAGAGTTGTGTTTTAGACAGATCTGTATCAGTCACCTGGGTGCATCATGCTCTGATCTGCTGTGCAGTACCTCCTTCCCCATTAATGTGGAGGTGTGGTAGTGGCTGAAGGACGTGTCCTGCATTCTTTTTCTCTGGAAGTGATGTTTAGACCCTCCAGCATCATGAATAACCCAGAAAAACTGATGGAAACAGTGGTCAATTCTTAGTTCTTTAAGCCTGGATACAGATAATTTGTCTTGTAATTTTTTAAATTCCTTTCTGCCTAAAGAGAGAGGAATTGAAAGAGGCTGTGTTGGGAACAATGCTGGTTGTGGTTTCTCCATTATGACTTACATGTGGAGTCATGTCAATATGAAGTGGAATTTAATAAAGGAAATTCCATTACAGTGTTGAGCACTCATCAAGAAAAATATTCACATAACTCAGTTTTGTTTTGTATCTTTGTAATCCATCTATTCATTTTATTTAATCTTCTGTTTCTTTGTTTCAAAATTATCTAAATGTTAATGATACTAAGAGCTTTTTAAAATTGTATTATTTTATTCTTATGAATAAGAATTTATGGATTTAGGTGAAATGCACACATGTAGGCTTCTCTTTTCATAAAAGTGCATCTGTTTTTAATGAATAATGGCTTCTGCTTTATCTTACACTAGTCTCTGACAAACAGCTTACTAAGTTGAAAGTTTCCTCAGAATGTCAAGGTGAGAATAGTTGGTGTTAAAACAGAATGACAACTGCCAGTACTGGTAATTTTCAATATAACTGAAGACTTCAAGTTTTTTTGTAATGTGAAGAGAGTTTAAAGTATTTTACTGGAGACAGATCTACCTGGTAAAATACTGCTATGTTTTTATTGGTACAAATCAGACTAAGAATTTATGCAATGCTCTTGTAGACATATTCCTAATATGTATTCAGGTCAATCTTCATGAATTCAAATGTTTCAAAAAACGTCTTCCATTTCAAATGTGTTCTTTTTTCGTGGAAGCACTCAAAATGTAGGTTCTTAATTTTAACCTCATCATATCATGTTTAAATGCCTTCCAGTAGCAAATTAATCAGTGAGATTTAATTAGCCCATGATGCCTTAATTTTTCTTTCTCTTTGCACTGTAATCTGATGTGTTGAACAGATATTTGTTGCGATGTTAGGTTGTTTCCTTTTGTTTAGGGTTTGTAGATGTTTTTTAAGTGCACTGTTCTCTGAGACCATACTAGGGAGGGCAGGTTGTAGAAGTGCATTTCGCCCTTAATTCCCTTCTGAAATGAGTTGACATTTTATCACTGTGACATTGTCTGTGTGTCACTGTGTGTCACTGTGATATACTCTGCCAGGTAGAGAACTTGTCAACAGCTTTCCTCAACATGATGAGGAGGGAGTGGTTTTGATAACATCCTGATATCATGAAGAATTGAACTAATATGTTAAATTTGACTTGCCTATGGAGCAACCAGTAATATATTGGGAATGGTAGAAGGCACCCTTGCTCATTTGCAAGCCACCATGTTGTTAGCTACCTAAAAAGCTGGGAGGGGTTGTGTGAACGTGGGAAAAATTTGAGTGCAAGAGAGTACAGCGTGTCCATTTTCTGGCAGAAGAAAACATTCTGTAACTAAAACAGAGCAAAGGGATCTATTTTGGAGCCTTAAGCAGCGTGTCCATTTTCTGGTAGAAGAAAACATTCTGTAGCTAAAAACAGAGCAAAGGGATCTATTTTGGAGCCTTAAAAATACTGTAGAGCAACTGCATCCCCTTGCCAAAAGATGACCTGAATCAACTCTGATTTTGACTTGCATTTACATTATTTGGATGCCCAGGTCATCTGGATTCAGTGCATGTGCTCAGTCTTATCTGGCAAACCTGATACCCTTGTAAACTTACACTTCTTATCAGAAATGGTTTGCGTAGAGTGAGCTTGAATTTCCTTTGGCCTGATCCTTGAAACTGATAATCCTATACGAATCAACATAAGTATTAGGTTCTTGGTAGATCCAAGAATCAGATTATTTGGGCCACATCACACACTATTGGAATTTTACTGTTAGATTTAGGGAGAGCACATCTTCTGGAAATGACTGAAGATGATAAGATCCGTGAATGTCAGTTGATCACAGCATGTCTAGGACTCATCAGTGCCTTGTGCTGTAAAAAGCAAAATTATTCTTGGTGTGAAATAGGTAAATAATTGCCAACAGAGAGAGGGAATTATTAATACTCTGGCAAAATACTGTACAGTGACATTATTAATACGACTGCGTACAATTCTGATAATCAATTTTCAGGACCAGTGAGCAGGTGCTAAGAAGGTCTCTTTGGCAGTTGATGGAAATAGAGAATATTTACTAGGAAAAACCCCCCCATTAGATGAAAAACTAAAGGACAATAAAGAATATTATTTTTTTTTTCCCCTGGATGTAACTATGGGGTAGGAACGAGTAATGCAAACAAGTGGATAAGAACTGGAAATATGGTTCCAAAGCATAAGAACCCTATCAATCAAAAAGGAAAAAAAAAAGAAAAAAAAGAAAAAAAAATCCCTTTAAAAAGTGGATTTTGGCTTCTTTCTGGGAAGCTTATACAACACAGCTGCTTTTGGTAATGGAAAAGCTATTCTGTGACTTAAGTACAGTTTTGATATGGAAAATGCTGGAAAAATCAGAGATCGGAGACTATTGAATATTGTTTTAATTTCAAAAAAGGAATAATTAACTGGTGAACTGCATTAACACCTAGAAAACTGGGAAAATATAACATCTTTAATAAAATTATAAAATTGCATCCTTTTAAACTCATGTTTACAAATAAAAACCCCACTCTATTAAACTTGCATAAATAGGTCTCAGGAACTCATATTTTTAGCTTATGTCTATATAAAAATTGTTCAGACAGAATATTAAATTTTGTAGCCCCATATGAAAGTGGTATTTTAAATAACTGCTTTGCTCTCTTTAAGAAATGTAATAGGATTTTGCATTTGCATTTGATTTTTGTGCATTTTAATCTTGGCAATGACTTCTATTTCTCACAGCATCAGCTATGAAATGTGTGTCAATTGATGTGTAAATTGTTACTATAAACTTGCTACGGACTTTTCTATGAAAAATGTTTAGAGAAGTGTAGCTTTTTCAGGTGCTAGTTTACAATAATTGCCTGCTTAGCTTCCAATCCAGATGGCAAATCAAGCAAGCAGTATATTCTGTGCATTCACACAAATTGAGGAAGTGCTGGAGAAGTTCTGTTTACTTTTTCTCATATCAGGGCCAAATATAATTGCATACATTGTGGTGACTTTCTATAATTTTTCACAGAACGCACTAGGATATCTCTGTCAAAAAAGGATAAGGGAACAGGGAGATGATTGAGCATTTTCCAGTACATTTTGGATTGAACATCCTGAAGTTCCTTTAAATTTTTTTGTTACATTCCTCAATTCTGACTCTCTACTCCCTCATATGAACACATCTCCAGCTTGCCAGGCAAAACTGTGTGTCTGGGAGATTTAAATACAAATTGGTTGTATGTTTGTTCTATACTGTGACTACAAGATTGTAAACCATGAAATTTTAACTTATTGTGCATGGCCTTAAGGCATGTTACAACTGTATTAATTACCAGTAATCCAGGCAAGGCACATCTCTGTTTTTGGAGTAGGTGTCTGCCTGTATGCTAAATTTAAGTGATTGGAAAAGATTTTCCATATTAGAAGGATTATCTAAGTGTTGCATATGGGGATTATTTCTTCTTACTGTAAACATGTCCAAAGTCACATATAAAAATATGGGTAAACACAGCAATAACTAGCAAGTAAAACATGTAAATTAATGGTAAATTTTAAATGAAGTAATCTTCCATATTTTTTGTGCCCCAGTAAGAACCTGCCAAAATTTCTCTCTTGAGATCTGTTTTGAGAGCTGTGTTTCCCACAGCTATACCACCTTTCCAGAGAACTTTGCTGGCCACCAGACATCACTGAAAAACTGTTTTCTTTCACATCCCTGTGGTACCAGCTGCTAAACTGTCATGTGCAGAGTTATAAAAAGCTTGGGAAAAAAGCTATGTTGAACAGTAGTTAGTGCCTCTGTATTCCAGTTTTTGGTACTGCCACCCTGCAAGGGTGGAACACATGATTTTATGCAGTTGCCTTAAATCAGCCTTTACTCAGGACAAGTGAAAAAGCAAAAGATTTAATGCATACCAAAACACAGTTTGAAAAGGTTTCTAAGAGTGTAAGTAATGGAAATAAAAAATTGCTGGTTTTAATGAAAAACTGAAAAAGGCAGGCTAAAATGTTTCCTTTTGCTTCCTGAATAGAAGAACATAACAGCAGAGAAAAACTGACTTAGGTTGTGTCCATCTAGCAGAGTGTTCTGGCTGTGTTGGTGGCAAAAGCCTTTGTGAGGGTGTTTAAGGACAATTCAGGTGTGTATCATCCCCCAGGCATTAGAGAAGACACACAAATGAGTCATTTAGTAACAAAGAGAATATAAAATATTGTCAGGACAAGTGAAAAAATAAAACAAGATTTCATGTATACCAAAACACAGTTTGAAAAGGTTTTTAAGAATGCAAGAAAAGGAAATGAAAAATTACTGTTCTTAATCAAAAACTGAAAAAGGCAGGCCAAAATATTTCCTTTTGCTTCCTGAATAGAAGCCGTGTCAGAACATAACAGCAGAGCAAAACTGAGTCAGGCTGAGTCCATCTAGCACAGTGTCCTGGCTGTGTTGGTGGTTTGGGAGAGTTTTTAAGGACTATTCAGGTGTGTATCATCCCCCAGGCATTGGAGAAGACACACAAATGAGTCATTTAGTAACAAAAACAACACAAAATATTGTAAGATAAATTTGAGACATTTCTGTATTACAAACAAAACTCACTGAAACTGGATGGCAAACACTCTGTGTCATGTGTCAGAGAAGTTTTCAGGGCACTCAGATCAGAAGTCATGTTAGAATGGTAACATTTGTAGCTGTGGCTAATAAAGCCTTGGTATGGTTTAAGTCCAGTCGGTAACTAAGCATCACACAGCTCCTTGTTCACTTCCCCTCCAGGAGGATGGGGGGAAGGGAATTGGGAGGGTAAAAGTGAGGAAACTCATGGATTGAGATAACAGCAGCTTAAATAAATGAAATAAATAGTAATAATAAATGGAAATGAAAAGAGAAATGAGAGAGAGAAACTAAATCCAAGAAAGAAAAGTGATGTAAATGAAAGCAGTTGCTCAACTCCAGCCACCTGGAGCCCAGCCTGTCCCTGAGCAGTACCCCTGCACCAACCTCTCTCCCGGTTTATTGCTGACCATGCTGACACATGGCCTGGAATATCCCCAGGTCAGCTGGGGTCATTTGTCCTGGCTGTGCCCATTTCCAGTTCCTTGGGCACCCTCTGCATCCTCACTGGTGGAGTGGGGTGAGGAGCAGAAAAGGCCTTGACTCTGTGTAAGCACTGCAGTACTGGAAACATCTTTGTATTGTCATCAACACCCTTCCCAGTACAGGTCCAAAACACACCCCTGTACCTGGTACTGTGGAGAAAATTAACTCCACCACAGCCCAAACCAGCGCATGCCTGCAGCTGATTCCCCATTCCAGCTGCAGTTACTTTTTCAGTATGAACCCGAGTTGCCTTCAGTGTATTAGATTACATTTACCTGCTCCCCCAGATGGACTTTGAGATCTAACACAGACCCAATATCATGATAGAAAAGTTTCTGTGCTGTAGTGGCACAGCTGAGGAATTACTGCAGATATTTACAGTTGCAATAAGAAGCACAGATTTTGGTGTGGCCCACCAGGCAAAGTAGCACACTGATATTTGGGGGGTGAGGTACAGTGCAAACACTTCAGGACGTGGTGGGAATGGTAATTAAACATTGTTGTCTTCCAGTCTTGGGTTGGGCTTAATTGTTTCTTTCTCATCTTCTCTTGTCACTTGGTTACAGTGTCAGTTGTGCTGCCACACTTACACAAATATATTTTATAATTCTCCTCAGATATGTCATGGAAAGGTTCAGCATTTCTCAGTTCTACTTAGACTGCTGCTGTGGCTTTGCAGTTGTTTGTTTGCAGTGCTATTAATGTCAGGATTTTTTTGCATTTCATTTGATGTGAATTGGAGCTGTTGTGAAGGAGTTTATGGGGTGCCATTACACGCACTGTGTTAAGTTAGCTGGTTTATCAGCAACACAACACTCTGCAAGGTAGCTAGAGCCTAAAATTATGCACTTTATTTTAAATCTCAAAAAGAACAAAATGCTCCAGATCTTTGAAGTTATTTTTTATTAGCATATTGAAAAATAAAGTTAAAACAATGTAACTTTTTAACTAGAGAAAACTCGTAACTCTTGTGTCGCATGTGTTAAATAGAAAGGTTTGCTAATAAAAGTAGGGTAAGTTCTCTTGGATCTTTGAAGTACTTGGTTTCATTCCAGTTCTACTTTTTCAGGCTAACAGCTTTCAGGGTGGCTTTTCTGTGGCTTATAAAACTTATGCATCACTATGTGTTCCTGTGGAAGTTTCCTTCTGTCGGTCACATGTCAGATTTGGCTGCATGAGTGCTTCCCTCTTCACTTTGCAGGAGCCTGCCTGTCTCCCCTGGTGTTGCAGCTTTCCTTCTTTTGGCCTTGCCTGCTTTTTCTTTCTGAATCCACTGATGCTGTTTTTCAGCAGGCCATGGTCTATGGTACCCACAAAGAAAACTCCAACTGCACTGAGAAGTTTTATCCTTCCTTACAGAAAAGTGTTTTATGTAGTTTTTTTGAGTTTTTTTTCTTTTCTGCTTGAAGACTTCATTTTACAAAGTTTGCAAAATTATGTCATGTAATTGTGTGTCCCAAAAAATCTGGAAGTAGTGAAAGTTACAGCCTTCATTAATGCCACAATTAAACATTGTGTCAACAGTCAGCAGGTCCTGCAGGCACCACTTCTGGGCTTCCACCTTTGGCCCATGGATGGACTCTTTTCAAAGGTCAAATATCACTGAAGTCCTTTTTCCCAAAGCAGTGTCCCAGATTCTGTTCCTGTTGGCATCAGTTGTGGTTTAGGCAGAATGAAAAGCCTGTGGGATTATAACTGAGCCCACCAATTCCTTTTGCTCTTTTACCAAGGAAAGGCAGTAAAGGTAAAATCAGAACTAGGAGAAGTCATGTCTGTCTTTTAACAGAGCAGCAAGTACAATGCAGTTGCTAATGTCATTACTAAATCAGCTGGATAGAAAAGGGTTTTTAATGAAGCACGAGTAGATGCTGTTTAGTTTACAGACTAATTTTCCATTAGCAAGGCAATTTACCACTGAATTCTTTAAAGTGCAGATCCCTAGCAATGCTCAAAATAAAGACCTACTCATGCAAGTAGAATTCAGTAAGTGGTGAAAAGAGGTAGAATAAACAGCATTTATTCAGGAGCAAAACTAACACTGCATTCATTAAATGTATCTGTGTAAAGGAGGTGTAGACTGACAGCAGTATGTTAGATTATAGCAAGGAAATAAATATTTCTTTTTTCAGCTGTCCTATAGAAAACATTCTGTGATTAACTTAAGTAGCACAAGAATATGTCCATTTGCAGGTGATATAGCAGTGAAAAGTATAACAGAGTAAAGTAAGAATAGCAAAAGAAATGTATTTTGTATATGCAGTTTATCAAATCTTCCTTCCCTTCCTTCAGCCCTGAGAAGGTGATTTCTCATTCCTATCTCCTTCTAGTGATCAGATTAATCTTAGAGCTGTATTTGGGGAGAAAATATAACTGAATTAACCTGTGAAGCTTTCCCTTTGGAACTATTTCATTTGGTTATATTCATTGTAGGTCTAGGTTAGATATCAGGAAAAGGTTTTTCACCTAGAAGGTGACTGAGCTTTGGAACAGCTCCCCAGGAAAAGGGTCACAGCATCAAGCCTGCATGAATTCAAGAAGCATTTGGACAATGCTCTCAGGTACATTCTGTGATTCTTGGGGTGTCCTGTGCAGGACCAGGAGTTGGATTCAATGATCTTGATGGGTCCCTTCCAACTCAACATCTTCCATGATTCTCTGACCAACTAAATCTTTGCTGAATTATGTGATAAATAAGAGAATGTGCCGTGTGTTGGAAAGATGAAAACCCAAGAAAAGGCCAAGAATGGAAAGTGGCATCTTCTGAACTGTTAGATGCAATTTAGAGGAATTACCTGACTCCTATAAACTCCCTGATTCAATATAAGTATTCCAGTCCTGTCTGGGCTGTATTTGGGGTTAAATGATGTAGAGTTGTCCTATTAATGAGTGGAGCACATGCACCCTTGATGGGCGTGTTTTGGGCAGTGAGTGCTGTTGTTCCTCTGGGGAACCTTTCAGCACCAGTAAGCACACTCTGTATAAACAGATCTGCTTTAGTGGTTAAAAACCAGCTATTTATATAACACACAAGTGAAATTTCATAGTGCTGTTCTAATCTCAAGTGTTTTCTTTCATCATCTCTTCTCCTTAAGAGGATTTGATAGTTTTCATCTTATTTCTACTGTGAAAGCATGCAAACCATATATTTAAGTCTAAATCCCCAGGAGGATATCATTTAGAAGGAATATTGTGCCATGAATGATTCTCCCCTAGAACATTAAGCTGCCTGATGGTTTAATAATTTTCTATTTGAAGTACTGCATGTTAAAAGATGGAGATCTCTGTATTTGGGACTGCATCTGCTATCATCTTCCCCAAGTTTAACACTTCTATTAACTTTGAATTCAGTTAAATGAATTCTCCTCAGTGGTATTTGTCAATATATTCAGTAACTTTCTGCTTAATATTTAGGTAAATCAAATAATTTTTTCAAAAGCCCTGCCCCCCCTTTTTTTTTGTGTTGCGTATTTCACCAGATTCTAGTCTAGCTACCACTTCATCAAGTTTTAAAGATAAAATATTACATTTTAACACTTTGAGTTCAATGTGAATAACTTCACAGAATATGGTTACGGGTAAAGCTTCTGAGTTTATGGGTTTTTCATACTTACATCTTAAATACATGTTGTTTCATAATAAATTTTCAGCATGCAGCAACAAAACTAAAATGTTAGTCTGACTTGTGTATTTTGGTGTTAGAATCAAGCCTCATTGCTTCCACCTATGGACAACCTAGCAATGGAAAGGAAGACTTTGAGATTGTACATATGTGTTTTTAAAGGATTTTGCTGGTTCTGCCAGAAATGAAGGGAGCCTGTTCAACTGTATTTGATCCTTGCTCTGACCTGGAAACTTCTTACACAGACTGGCATCAGGACTAGATCCAATCTCTCTTGCTCATGTGGTTGCAATCCTTGTTTTCTCTTCTTTTGTGACAGGTAACCTGGGGTCCCAGCTGGTTGAGTATAAAGAAGAGATGTACATAACATCTGACTGTGGGAACACGTGGCGTCAGGTAGGAGGCATAAATCATCAAAGGAATCTGGAAATAATTGTAATGTACCAAATGTGATGAATTATGTAATGCTTAACTAATCTTTAGATATTCACTCTTTTTGAAGGAGGAGGTATTATTATCTCCAGGTTGCTTGAAAACTAAGAGATTAAGACGGTGATTTTCTAAGACTCAAATTGATCAGGCTGTCAGGTTCTGCTGAAGTTCAAATATTTTGGTCTCTTTAAGGATCCTATAAGTATCTTATGCAAAAAACATACTGTCTGTTTAGGTTTTTAATAATTTAAGTAATCTTCCTATGCTAATGATGAAGTGGACTTAGACTAGATCTTGCAGTAAAAACATTCTGAGCTATAAGACATAGCTTAGGTACAAGGGCAAAAATTATTCTTCTTCTTAGTCTGAAATCTGCTACTAAAGCATAAACTTTTTCTTCATTGAAACTGAGACAGTGAAAAGATATTTTCAAAAAATAATAAAAATTTTGAAGTCTTTTGGCATGATTTAATAAATTCAGAGACTATAAATACCAAAGTGTTAAAAAGAGAACAGTGATATCTTAATGCTACTTGAATTCTGGATGGATTTTTTTCCACTGACTAGCGTCAGTTCAAGCATTTTGCTTTTCTCATGTGTCGTTTCTTCAGCTGCTCTGTCTCAGTGTGGTGGGTTTGCCCTGGCTTGGTGCCAGGTGCCCACCAATCTCTCTCTGCTGGACAGGGGAGGGAGAATATAATGAAAAGCTCATGGGTTGAGATAACAACAGGGGGAAGTTGGTCACCAATTACCATCACAGGCAAAACAGACCTGAGTTGGGGGGGTGTTTATTTGATTGCCAATTAATAGCAGAGTAGGATAGTGAGAAATAAACTCAAATCTTACAATAGCTTCTCCCTACCTCTCCCTTCATCATGGGCTCAACTTTACTCATTAATTCTCTACCTCCTCACCCTGAGCCACACAGGAAGATGTGGAAGGGGGCTGTGGTCAGTTCAACACAAGTATGTCTGCTGCTCTTTCCTTCTCATGGGGAGGACTCCTCACACTTCCCTGCTCCAGTGTGGGGTCCCTCCCACAGGAGACAGCTTTCAGTGAACTTCTCCAACATGAGTCCTTTCCATGGGCTGTAGTTGCCCATGAGTTCTCCAGAGTGGCTGCAGCCCCTCAGGAACAGGCTGCTCCAGCATGGGTCCCCAGTGGGATCATAAGTCCTACCAGCAAATCTGCTCTAGCGTCAGCTTCCTATGGAGTCACAGCCTCCTTCAGGCATCCACCTGCTCCACTGTGGAGTCCTCCATGGGCTGCAGGTGGATCTCTGCTCCATCCTGGACCTCCATGGGCTGCAGGGACACAGCTGCCTCACCATGGGCTGCTCTAGGGGCTGCAGGAGAACCTCTGCTCTGGCACTTGGAGCACCTCCTTCCCCTTCTGCACTGACCTTGGTGTCTGCACGGCTGTTCCCCTCTCATATCCTCAACTCTTCACTCCTGCTGTAGTTGCTGTTGTGCACTTACATACTTAATCCCAAAGGTGCTACTGCTGTCATTGATTGACTCAACCTTGAGCTGAGTCAATGGACCAGTGGCATGTCCATCTGGAAGCTGGCTGGTCTTGTCTGTAGGATGTGGGAAAGCTTCTCTAGAAGTGTCTCAAAGAAGCCACCCCAGTGGACTAAACTGCTACCAAAACCTTCTGTGCAAACCCAATGCACTCAGCATAGGGGTATTTTCTTTCTCTATATATGTATATAGCAACAATACACAATATCATATAGATTCTACTTACAATGTATATCCAGGATTAAAAGAAACATCCTCAAAGGACCAAAGCGATTTCAAAAAATAATTTAATTTCAGGTAAAATAGTGTTGTAGTGTTCAGCTGAAATAAAATTTTGTTATTTTCTTAGAACCATTAAGTGTGAAAATGTTCTCAGTAGTATTACTGACTGAGCTTGGGGAATTTGAGGTTCAAAGAGAAAAATACAGACAGTTTCTTATATTGCTATTGTAGGGTTCCATTAGTACTCCACAGAGTACTTTAAAAAGAATTGGGTTATTTTTGTAATGATAATGTCCTTTGATGTTTAAAAGATAAAATTTTATACCAAATTCCATCTTGAAATCTAGCATACAATAAATAGGTGTTTAAATGCAAAAGCCTTCCAGGATTTACAGTGGGTACTGTGTAGAGGCCTCTCATAATTTCTTGCCAGCATTTGCCAAAGCTTTATAATTTTTCTCGGGTGAAAAATAAGAAGAAAAGAGGAATGAGATCAAATTAATGTTTTCACTGCTTTTTATTTATAGAGACACACAGGTAAATGAAATGTGTTGCAATTTGACCCTAAGGTGCCTAATTATACTGTAAAATAACCACAAACTGATGCCTCATTGTGACGGTCAAAATGGCAAACAACTTTTCTTGCTTTATTTTAGTTGAAACTCCTATGAAGCCCTTGAAAGAGCTTACTCAATTTTAATATTTGTGATCAGAATGAAACTGTAGATTATTCTATGTGTTTCATGGCCTCACTGCACACAATTAAAAAGTTCTTCCAGAGGACAGCAGCACATTTCCTTTCTCTGCTGGAGTTCTTAGAACAAAAGAGAAGGCTTCAGTCAGGTGATACAGGAATTTAGATAATTCAGTAAATTGCAGGTCTTGTGAGCTGGTGAAATCCTGTGCTTTGGCACAACACTTTGTCTGAGTTTAAGTCTCTGCCTTGGAGACTTTGTGGTTGTCATGAGTGAGGGTCTGGCACCTTTCTCACCAGCTCACATGATGTTGCTGAGCTGTGTACAGAGGAGAAGAGGAACAGTCTGTGTTTGTGTGTGGAGACAGAGAATGAAGAAAAGCAAACATAAGAGACTTAGGGGAAAATGTAGTGCAAGCAATTAATTAAACCTTTCTTGTCATAATAGCAGTATTGGTTCATAGGACTGTGGATTATAGGACTGTGAGGAAGGTCAAAGATCCTGTAATTAAACAGGGTGCTCTGAGACAGCATCAAACTTTCCACAGCCTGCATTTGATGTGGTCATATAAGGGTTCAGGAAGACTTCCCTATAAACACAGCCAGAGTTCGTAGACAGAAATGAATGCCTATATAAGAGGTTTTGAAATTAAGTAAATTCTAGTGATAAATGGAAATGCTCGGGAAAAAAATCAGAAGGTTGGTGAGGAGGACTGTAAACACAGTCAAGTGATGTGCAGGTGTCAAAACCCACATATATAATACTATTAATTTTTTGGCCTTCTGTGTTGGACAAGACAAACATCTGTGTTTAGATAACATAGGCCTGTGATAGAGGCATGGTATCAAACATGCTTGAGATCCCTGCCCTGCTGCTGCAAAGACCAAAGCAGAGTGGTAAATTACACCTGTGCAGACCCCTGCAATACAATGGGCTGGGTGATCCTCTGGCAAGGACTGAGCTCTGCAGTGTTGCATCCCCAGTTGTATGTCTCTGCCCAGGTGCTGCTTCAGGGCTCCCCTGCTTGGCCAGGTAATGAGAATAAATTTATTATTGCATTTCATCTGTGGTTTTGTGGTTGTTCCTACATTCTGCCTGTGTCAGCTCACACAAGAAGCAAAACCAAGAATTATTATAAATAACCACAATATACTTGTGCTGGTTCTAGTTGTTCTTCTATCTTTCTGTTGCATAGCTGAGCTGCTTGTTGGTATACCTTGAAACCATCACTCTTTTTTTGAGGACAACTGAAAATTGTGGCTATGTACTGTACAACATTGCACTGTAAATAGCAGTGCTTTAGGAGCTGATTGGAAAGCAGCTTAAACATCCATGCCATGAACTGGACTGTAGAATAAAGGAATCTCACCTTGGCATTATCATGAAGTATGTGGGCTTAGAATCATAGAATCATTAAAGTTAGAAAAGACACTTAAGTTCACTAAGTCCAACCATTAACTTAAGTGCCAAGTGGACCATGAAGATGTAGCCTAAGATGAACTCATGTTTATTTGAAAGATTTCTCTGTCTATTATACCAGGAAAACAATATAATAAATGTGTTAATGAACATGAAATATTAGGATACTCTGTTAAGTACTAAGGATTACCTTATGTATACCTTATGCATATATGAGTGGTTTTATTTTATTTTAATACTGATTTCTGTTTACAAGTCTCTTTGCTTTGTTATTTCAACAGCATCTGTTACAACACTGTATATGAAATACAGCAAAGTATTTATACAGCAAAGAGTAAGAGAAAGGTCTGGATTTCAAAGAAAATGGTATAAATAAAAGGAAAAAGTCAGCAATAATAAGCCTTTCACATTTGATCTGCTACCAGAGTAGCTCTTGCAGCAACAAAATGTTCAGCGAAGATAATGAGGTTACACAGAAAGCCTTTTGGATGTCTAGGAACTAAATCTAGATCTCCGGAGCTTTAGTCTGGTGGTTTTTGTTGGAATATTATTTATCTGTGTCAAATCCTTGTGTATCAAAGCAACTTGAAAAACCTTCAGTTAAGTGAGAATACATGTTTTCCTGCAGGCATCTTAGGAGATAGATGGTAACACTTCTAAGCACAACAAAAAAGGATGTAATTCCAGCCTTTCGGCCCTGAGAATGTACAACTGGCTCATTCTGTGCAGAAAAGCTTCTGTTTCCAGATTTAAATTTAGTAATGGATATCACTTGATGAAATAAAAAAGTAATCTCAAGAGTTTTGTTTATTCTTGCAACTTCTGTATTGCAAAATAAAATTGTATGGCATATATTTCTCTAGAACCACTTAAATGTGCTCTCACTGATTTCATGGAGCTATCCAAATTTCTTCCGATAGATATTCTGTAGGAAGAAAAGCATTTAGAGCAGAAGTAGTGGATAGAATAGAAGCTGATATTGTGATTATAAAGCAAAAAATATGCACAAAAAATTACAGAAATAGGTTATAAAAATCTTTTTTTTTTGTAGTGGCTAGCTACTAGTAAGGATCAGAATAGTTTTATTGCCTGCCTTAGTTAGTGGAGAGATGTATATCAGAATTTGTGGCCTGCTGTGAATTCACATATCTCATCTTCATAGGTCTGAACTTTATCTCTCACACTGGGACCACCTTTGCCTCGATCCTTTGCAAACTGTTTGTCTTGGGGTTTTTTACCAGAAAGTAGAGATAAATGTTTACTTTTGTGATAAACAGGCATGAAACTGTTCATTATTTTCAATGTAGTGAAGATGAAGAATTGTTTTCATAAGGCTTTCATACATTTTGTTTATAGAAAGTTTGAAGTGTGTGAGTGTGTGCAAGAAGAGCATGAAATAACAACTGCATTAATATGCCTGTAATGTGTGCTCTGTGCTTTGCAGTGTGCTAAGGCAGGGTTATTAAAATGCTATGTGAAGACCTACCCTGGTGCTTTTCTGGGAAAGGCTGATTTGCATTAAGTGGTGCAGGTATCAGCTTCCTTTATCTTCGGTGCTGAAGCTATGGGAGACTTGGTGTCCCAGCACATCCTGTTGCATTTTGGTTGAGGGAAAGTTCAAACAAAGTTTAGAGGAGGATCAAAACTCTGCTTGCTTATCTGACTCCAGCTGATCTCATCCTTTTGAAGTGCATCTAAAATTAATGTCTGTCCATTACTGAATTCTCTTCTAAAATACGCAGCTGGGGGAATGAGTAGGTTGGACTATCAATGCCTCTTATCAGGGTTTTGCCTGTAAACTGGCAACACTGAAAAACTGAGCAGGCACTTGAAGTCCTAGGATTCCCATAAAATATGTTCTTGCTAGATCAGAGGAAGACTGAGTTCTCAACCCAAATTAAATGCTTCCTACTTTTGAAGTAATTGTGAGTATGCTGTAAGATATTTTCACCCCAGCTCCAGCTCAGTCTTTCTGAGAAATGCTCTAAATGTAACATTTCATTTTGCCAAAAGAAGAAAATAATTTAGTATTGTCAGTATTTTTTTCATTTACAAGGCAAAGTAAAGCTAACCTTTATTGTTTTCACCTTTGCTTTGTCAAGGCATACGGAAGACTGCATGTTTGTCTATAAAGGCTAAGTGTGTATAATTCTCACATATCATTTGGTTTTGTGTTTAATGAAGTACAGAGGTTAATAACAAAAGTAAATCCTGTCTTAAAATGGATTTTGGATGGAAAACAGGAAAGGTGCTTTTATTTTAGCACTGCTGGTAACCTCTAGAAAATGAATTAAAATAATTTATGATGTTTTTAATCCTTTATACCATTAAATAAATTACATGTAACTTGGTTCCAAACTCACAGTGTTCTCCATGGGACATCACATAATATTTGAACTTAAACTCACTGACACTGGAAAAGCAGAAAACATGCTTGCACCAATTATTTCACATTGTGTAGGTTCTGAGGAATATGTGAGAAAGTCACTGACAGCAGTACTTTTCCTTTTTTTCTTAGAATTAGACTACAAAGCATTTTATTCTGCAGGATACACAGAATATGGCAAACACTGAAGTAAGGTGATGGGTCACTTGGTGATATATAACGGCAAGGAATGCAGAATGCATACTATGAGAAATACAAGCTTGGGCTAAAATCACTTTAGGCAGTTTAATCTGACTGTGATTTGAACCTGAACATTTTCTGATTCACCTACTTAACTTTATTTTCTTTTACAGCTGGGAGAAATATAAGACTTAACCTGACTTTTATGTTCTTTTCAGTTTGAAGTGCGGACGTTATAAAACATAAGTCTCTTAATTCTTGTTTGCTTGTTCATTTTATTTCAGCTGTTTTGTACATTTGCTTAGCTGGCCTTTGTTTGTCTGACTTGTAGGTCTTTGAAGAAGAGCACCACATCTTGTACTTGGACCATGGTGGAGTTATTGTGGCTATCAAAGACACCTCTATCCCTCTGAAAATACTCAAGTAATTCTCCAGTCAATTAGAGTAGAGCTGTTGTGTACTCAAGACCTCAGGCAAAGTTCGGAGTTTAAGATAAGCATTTCATTGTGATCATGTATGAAGCACAGGTGGAGTCAACTTAATTTAACATTCATTGAGTCAACAACAATGCAGTTGGATGTTTACTTTAAGATTACTTCATGGTGCTGAAGATACTATGGCATCATGCATTAATCATAATGAAATATTCTTGCATCAGTGTAGGCATTTTTTTGCTTAAAAGACTGTTCTGGAAGTCTACAGTAGAAGCTGTGTTCAGAATAATTGTTTATCTGCTACTGGTGGCACCAGCAGTACATGTCAGAGATGCTCAGCCTGTGCTGCATATGTGGCTTAGCTGTGCAGTCAGGGGAGTTCATTGATACTGTAAAGTCTCTGTCCCCTCCAAGGACCAAAGGGAAATTGGAGAATAGCCCTGAGTTTCTCTGGCAAGAGCAATTTAATGTAGAGCTTGGGAGCCAACAGGCGAAGGACTTATTTGAGCTTGTGTGCTGTGTAATTTGGTGTGCCAGAATCACAGCTCATCTGAGATATTCATGCACAAAGTAACTGCAGTGTGCATAGATCTTCTCATAGGTGACAGTGCAGCAAATGGCCCTCTCAGCCTGTTTGGCAGGAATGGTTTGTTGCAAAGCAGTTTGGTATAAAATATCAAGTTTTAGACTGCATGATAGTGCAGCAAAACATAGTAACCTTGTGTAATGGCACACAGAACTATAATTTTCAGCACATACATACATCTTTAAAAATACATTAAAAGGCATGAAAAGACATCTTTATAATTTGTGAATTGGCTTATTTTTGCAGAACTGTGTTATATACATGAATAGAAACTAGGCTCTAGTTAACCAGATAACCAGGTTATCTGGACTGAAAGCCGTCAGTAACATTCTGTCCAAAAGACCTGAAGGAAATGTACAGAAAAAAAGAAACTTTGACTTGTAAGTTTTGGGATGCACATTTGAAATATGTTTTGATTATTCCTCAGTATCTTTTGCAAATGTTTAAGTGTATAGCAGCAGCCAAGAAGGGCCACAGTCATGCTGGTGCCTGGAGTTAGTGCACCTCCCATGTTTTAGCAGTTGGCCTCTCACATTTCACTGGCCTCTGCTTAAGAGGTCTATAGCTCAGAGACTACTAGAAAGAATGAAATGTGAATTAACTTGCTTTTGAGTCTTCAAGGTAGAAGGTGAATTTATTGACAGAGCTCAGTTTTTAATCAACCTGAGGAATTTTATTTTTGTGGAAAATTTATTATACCTTCTCATAAAATTGTGAATCCCTGGATAAGTTGCAGAGAAGAAGATCACATTAATGTCATGCACTGTCTAGGCACACTCTATTTTGTGACTGAAAATCCTAAGCTTTAGTAGTGAGGGGATTTTTGAAGTGCATTCTGCTTTGTATACCAATAGTTGTAAATGAAAGTTTTTTCTGCTTTTTTACAGGTTCAGCATAGATGAAGGCCAGACCTGGAGCACACATAATTTTACCAGCACTTCTGTCTTTGTAGATGGACTACTTAGTGAACCTGGAGATGAGACACTGGTCATGACGTAAGGTTTTGGTTTCACCTCTGTTTTCAGGGTTCTCTCTGTGTATGCATTTGCATAGATTTTCAGCTGTGCATGTTTGAGATGGTCCTTGAGTCAGTGGCTTTTGCTTCTCACAGTCACACAGACATTTACAGCAATGTCTGAACCATCCTGGTATGTAACCTGTCTTTGAAATCATCTGACTGCAGTATTTCAGATTTTAAATATTATGTTCAAATGAAATCTTTCAAAGTTACCACTGGGGAGAGTGGAATAATAGGACTGCTTTACAACTCTGAAAGATACAGGGGGAAAAATAATTATTTCCTCTTGTTTTGGGGGGTTTTTTTACAGATTTTTAGTCAGACATCAAAAATGTTAAACATCTGTTGTCTTCACTGTGTAAATAACTATAGTGTTGTCTTAGCAAATAGCACTGCAGTACTTGATGTAAGCAAGCACTGTGCTATCAAATATTTGTTTTTATTCTGTGCAGTAACAGAGGCAGATACTGTGAATAGAGTTAAAAATAACGAAATTCTGCAACTCAGAATTGTTTATCCTGTTTATCTGTCTTTTTCCAAAGGATCAGGGACATCTGGATCTGAGCTGCACATTTTGCTCCATCTCTAGGATAAACACTAATATTTTAGAAGTGTCTGAGAATAAAAAACACCTGTCCAGTAGGGGAGAAAGGCACATTCTGCCTGCAGCCAAAGAGGGGAGTGCACTGAGGGCAATGCACACAGGCTGTTGTGTGTGTTCTTATTGCAGCAGTTTGGGTGATTCTTTATATGGAGCTCAGTGTACTCATGACAAGCTTTTTCTCCCCAGAGTTACAAATAGAGCTGCCTTTGACATGTACCAGTAGCATTTTCCCCAGGGAAAAATAAATTAATAGTCCAGTGTATAAAGGACCCTCAGCAAAGCAGAAATCCTACCCAATGTAGTTCAAAGGGTTGTGCCAAGTTCATAGTGCTGTGCAGAGGTGGGATTTGGTCTGTTGGTTGTTTTTCTCTTTCTTCACTGCCCCATTTATCCTCCATTATGCATCTATAACCTGAGAAGAACAGTATTATCCCATCAGGTTTCTCTTCTCTCAAATACAAGTTTATTTATGATATAATATGTGCCACATGGAGACACTTATGCCTCTGAATGAGGGATTTCCATTGATTTCAGTAAACGTAGATGGATCAAAAGCTTATCCCAAACTGTACTTACTGGCAGATAAAATGATGTGTGGTGACTGTAGGCTCTGAGCTTGGTTTTTTTTCATTATTAAGTATCATTAAAAACTTATTCTGTGAAGATGTGCTGAAATATCTGGCTGAATGGGCTAAAGAGCTCTTGTAAAAATGATGCCTTTCTAAAATCATCTATCTAAAATACATGGAGCTGCAGCTAGATTTGGTGCATGAGCCCAAATTGACAACAAAAGCATCACATTACTTGTATATTTCTAAAGGCACAGCAAGAGTTTCACTCTAGTGTGTAATGCCAGGCTTCTAGGATCTCACTTTTTAGCTAGTTTTACTGAGCATGGAGGGCATCAAACCTTTAATAGCACAGACTGGCCCTGAAGATATGTGCAAATTTCCTACCAGATTCTGAAGACAATGAGAAGAATAAACCTGCAGTATGTGTTTCATTGTTGCCATTGTGTCAACTTCCTTGTCTCTCCCTCTGCTTTTGACTATTTTACCTTCAGGGTGATGTTGTCAGCCCAGTGGTGCTCTGTCTGACTTTATGTCAAGACCTTTTGTCATTCTGTCTGACTTAGTTAATTTTTTCCTGAAAATTTATTCTTGTGCTAAGTTATTGTGCTTGACTTAATCTACAGTGATTTGTTGCTTTTGAGAAATACACATTCCCTGGAAAAAAGCCCCAAAAATCAACTATGCTATCTTTTCATTTTGTTAGATAGAATTTTCTTCCAAGTAGAACATAGTAATATGAACTTGTAAATGGTAATGGAAATAAATTGTGCGTTTCACCTTAAGGGGATCCCCAAATCCATTGCCAAGGACCTAGTTTCATCCATTTTCCTAGTATGAGAATTTGATTTTCTCCCTTTGGTATGGAATGTGCTTGAATAAAGACTTTGAATAAAGGGTATGATGTCAAAATCTGCATAAATTAGGAGCAATAGCATAATTCTGAAGTGGGAAGGTAAAAACTGAAAAAATGTGCGGGAAAGTTAAAGAATAAGCAGTATTTCATTTAAAGCTTCTAGAATAAACTCACAAAAGAGTCAAAGAATATTTTACGTGTCCTGAAATTGACTGTTAAGGTAAAATCCTGGTCCCACTGAAGTCAGTCTGTGTGTAAGAGATTTGTCATTCTCCAGCATGGTGTCTGGGATATTGACTGGACTTGTTAGTGGCTTCCATTTGCATTCCAGTTCTGTCCTAATTTATCCAGAATCATAAAATCACAAAATGGTTAGGGTTGGAAGGGACCTTTGAGACCATTTAGTTCCACCCCTCCTCTCATGGGCAGGGACACATACTAGAATAACTTGCTCAAAGCCCCATCCAGCCTGGCCTTGAATACTTCCAGGGATGGAGTATCCACAGCTTCCCTGGACATGGTCCAATTCCTCCACATCCTTCTTGTGTTGGGGACCCCAGAGCTGCATGCAGCACTATGGGTGGGCTCTAATGAGAGTGGACAGAGTGGCAGAATCCTCTCTCTTGCCCTGAGGCCCACAGTGCTTTGGATGAAGCCCAGGATAAATTTGGCTTTCTGGGCTGTGAGCACAGGCTGCTGGCACATGTTGAACTTCTTGTCCATGAAGACAACCGCCCACTCCTTCTCATCAGGGCTTTATCAGTTTGTAACTCATTCTTCCACCCAGCCTGTGTTTGTGCTTGGGATTGACCCAAACCAGGTGCAGGACCTAAAATCTGGCCTTGTTGAACTTCATGAAGTTCACACAGGCCCACCTGTCAAGCCTGTCAGGGTCCCTCTGGATGGCATCCCTTCCCTCCAGTGTGCCAGCCACACCACACAGTTTGGTGTCACTGACAAACTTGGTGAGGGAGCACTTGATCCCACTGTCCATGTCACTGACAAAGGTGTTAAGCAGCATCAGTACCAATACTGACCCCTCAGGAATGTCACTCGTGACTGTTTTCCATTCCAAAGTGAAGTGGTTTAGTAAACTTTACTGAAGAAACAGGAAAATGTGAACCTGGTTGTCTCAAGTCTTCATTTCAGAAAGTTTTGTGTTTTCTCCAAAACAGAGAGGAAAGCCAAACATTGACTTGTCAAAAGTTTTCATAAAACTCAGTTGTCATGTGTCAGTCAACATTAATCTAAATCATTCATCGAAATCCCCTACAGTATTCAAGATATGTACATATAAATGCTAAGGAAAATATATTTTATTCCATTGTGCTCTGCAAAAGACCTAGTTAAGATTTTTAGGAGTTTTAGTGGTAAAGTATTCCAAAACTTTAGGAAACTCATTCTGTTTTCAATCTGTCTAGATTTCCATTTCTAAAGAGACCTAGTTAGGAGTTTAGGAAAGATAAGCAATAAAGTATTCATAAATTTTAGGAAACTTGATCTGTGTAAAAATCAACTTCTAAATGAGGAGCTCAAATCCAGTATTTATTGCTAAATGAATAAGTAAGGTTTGCTAAGAAATTTTCCCAACTAGTATATTTTCATCAAAATAGTGCATGGACTAGTAGGTTTTATTTTGTTCTAAATTTGTAACAACAAAAGTTACTGCAACTCAGTTGAACAATACTGAACAATGTTTTATAGTTGGGAAAAATTACTTGCTAATACTAGATTGAGTAATGGCCTAACTCAGTGCAAAAGGAAGAATTTTTGTGTGTCTGAAATATGGATGTTCCTCTCCAGAGGAAATAGTTAATGCAATGAAAGTTTCAAACCTGTTGAAAATGCTTCTAAATCACATCTCAGCTTCTGGGAGTGTTTCCCAAACCAGGTTATTTAGATTGCAGTGTAAACCCAGTGGGCACAATAACCATGGTACCACAGACCATAGCCCCTTTTAAAAGGCCAGTAAGAGGTTACATAAAATAACTGCTTTTCTTTATGTCAGGTAGAATCAAAATCATCCTTGTGGGTAATTGTATTTTTTCCAGAGGGCTATTTTTTTTGTGTTGTCTCATAGAATAACAACTTTGGATGCTGCTGGGAACTTTATGACATCTCTGAACTCCTGCCTACCTGTCTTGCTGTCCTGAATGCCCATTGTGTTCCTTTTGGGTTCCTGGGTGATCAGGGAAACAGGAAGATAGTCTAACTTAATCAAAACCAGGTTGATATTAATAGTTGTTAGATATTTTGTAGAGCTGTCTGGGTTTTTTTGTCTGTTGGTTCTGCTAGGAATGTCAACCTCACCTTTAACAGCATCAATAGCAGTCAACATTACACGTACTTTGTGGAGCTTATTATCACCCATGTCAGGACGCTCCTTTTCCTGTTCTCTTTGAGTATCTTACTAGGTGAAGGTACTTCTCTGTGTTTTGAATTCTTCTCTACTGACTTCCTCACACTGCAACACTTATAAAAGTTAGATAAAAGGTAGATAAAGCCTCATTATAGTGGAAAATACCTGATTTCTGAAGGCAAATTCTAGGCTTTCTTTTCCTGGTTAATGTCTTGAATGAAAACCATTGCTCAGTTATGAAATGGCTGTTCTGCTCTCTGCATGAGAAGGAATATAGCTGAGAGTAGATATAGGAAACATGGTGAAAAAAGCATTGGAAAAGCAAACTGCTTCTTCTATTCCAATTTAATCTAGATATCAGCTAATGCAGATGTACAGATCTCTCTTTAGCAACAAGCTTAATGCTTTTGCTGCCACCTCTGTGGACACAGAGGTTAGCAGAGCATGTCAAAGCATTGCAGTGTCACTGCCAACTTGTGACCTTGGAATCAAGACCTGGTACTGCCCCAGTCTCTCCCTCTGCTCAAATGAAATTTAGTGGGTAAAGTTTGGTTTTTTCAATTTCTTTCTTTGCAGTTTCATAGTGTAG